GGGCAGGGAGTAAGAATTCTGAATTGGATGCATGAAGCCTGCGGCGCCTGTACACCTCCAGATGGTGACACGCACTTGGTGGATTGCAGGAGCACAGGAAAAGCCTGTGGCCTGAGCATGCCGGCAGAAATGGGCATATGGGAGCATTCATGACCCCAGGGCTAAATGCTGAACTAAAAGTGTACCTATTGTGGGAGGGAAATGTCCCACTGCCAGGCTCACCTCCCCTGAGGCAGTCTCTCTGCCCTAAAATATCTAGCTTACAGGTCCATAAAGTACTCCTCTGGCACCTGCAGAAGAAAACGTAGGCACAGCAGTCTTGGAGATCTGTCATGCCAAAATTTTTAACTTAAGACTTCTCAAGCCTTGTTGCATTTTTTCTTTCTTTCTTTTTTTTTTTAATCTTCACCAGAGGATATATTTTCCATTGTTTTTCAGAGAGAGTGGAAGGGGGAGAGAGAGAGAAACATCGATGTAGGAGAGACACATCAATTGGTTGCCTCCCACATGCCCCCAACCGAGGTACGTGCCCTATGGTCAGAACCGAACCCGGGACCCTTCAGTCTGCAGGCTGATGCTCTGACCACTGAGCAAAACTGGCTAGGTGAAGCCTTGCTGCATTTTTACAACCACAGGCATAAATGGAGACCTGCCTGGCGCTGTGTTCCAGATGAAATTAAGTTGAATGCTAGATATTGCCTGTGACCAGAGCTACTTCCCCATCACTCCCTGGTCTCTTTGCCATCTTCATAGCCTCTTCTTCACCCAGGGCACCCAGCACAGGCCAAATTCCTGTGCCTCTCCCAGCCATCCTCCACCTGGACTGGTTTATTTTTTCCTTCTGGACCACCTGCCCACCCCCACCTGCTGTCCCTCCTCAACCAAGTCCCTCAAACCTCCTTTCCCTGCAGACTCCTGAGCCAGCAGGACTTTCCCTAAGGAATGAAGAATCAGACTCTGGAAGCAAAAGCGAGGACTCATACCCCCAGTATAGCCCAATCCTCAAAAAGGAGCCCAGAGCCCCCATGCAGAAAGAGGGGGGCAGTGAGCCAAAGGAGGTATTGGGCTGGAAGAACCGGGAGGGGGCCGGGCAGGAGGGAGGCGAGGACCCAGGAGGCAAAAAGGAGACAGCGGCCAGTGAGGAGTGGGGCCAGTTTGGAGGAGCGGGGTCTGCAGAGGGCACAGTCTGGGGCTGGGGTGCTAGCTCCCACTGTGACCCTTCCTGAGTTGCTCTGACCCACTCTCTTTCCTGGTGTCATCTTCTCTTCTAGCCTTCCCAGCGACCAAGGCCCAAGCCTCCTGTTCCTGCCAAACCTCAGCTATCACCCGAAGTCTACACAAGCCCAGCTTCGAGACACCGCCCAGCCCTGCCCTCCAACCCCTCCAACCCCATCTACCATGAGCCCGATGAACCCATAGCTTTCTATGCTATGGGCAGGGGCAGCCCCGGGGAAGCCCCCAACAACATTTATGCCGAGGTGGAGGTGGGGCTGGACGTGCCATCAGGGGGAAAGGGCCCACCGTGCATCCTCTGGCACTCGGCCCTCAGGAAGTGCCGATCCAGGCCTGTCCCAGGAAGCCAGGTAAATGGGGGTGCAGGGAAAAGCTGGATCACAAGAAGGACTTCCTGAAAGCTAGTTTGGGAAGGGTTCACATTGGATGCCTGGGTCAGGGTGAAGGTCAGAGGTCTGAGGTGAGATGGGAAGGACAGAGTCCAGGCTGCCAGCATTCCTTTTGCAGGCCCAGGGATTACTCCCTCTGCTCGCCCTGGAGTCACTGGGAGAGGGCCTGGGACTTATTCATCTCCGTTTCCAAAGCACCCAGCACAGTGCCTGGCACAGAGCAGGCGCTCAGGAAATGTTCGTTGAATGAACGAGAGGGATGTAGCCCTCCTCTGTGCAGGCCAAAGACTGTTAAGACCAGATGTCTTGGCCCTTGAAGCTGCAGATAGGCCTGAAAGGGTGTGACCTAAGACTGTCCTTCTCTTTGCAGAATCCAGGTGGCCAGCAACTGCATTCTGACAACTCTGTGGCTAGACAAGGCCCTCCCGTGCCCCACAAGCCCCTGCCTCTCGGGGGACACAGCCTCCCTCACATCATCTCTAGACAGGTGCTCCAGGACAGAGGACAGGCATGTCTTCCCCTGGGGCCTCCTCAGTAGCCAGTGAGTCTGAGCTGAGAGAGGATAACCTGGGACATCAGGTCTAGAGAACTTCACACACACCCAGGTGCCCTAAGGAAATGTGGATGAACAAACTGTAGGTGACTGATCAAAACCTGGAAAGGACCTCAGCTGTCATCTATTGCAAAGATGGCAAAAATGTGTCACCTTGTATCCCAACTCCAGTCCATTGGTCCTTGCTGCTTATGGCGCTGCATTGGGAAGGATGTTAAGGTCATATCTGAACTCAGCAGAAAAGAGCACCGTGATTGATTAGTGATGTCTGCCGTGGGTGAGGGAAGGAAGAGGAACAGCATCGTTTTTCGTCCTTCCTGATCAAGTCCAACTCCCTCACTGTGCAGATAGGAAACAAAAAGCCAGAGTGGGATAGTGCCTTGGATGAGGTCAAGGACTGGAAACCAGGCCTCCTAATTCCCTAGTTTAGTGCTACTTTCCTGACCCCACATCCACTAAGTCTTCACAAATTTCCTAACATAGGAAATCTGGCTGCTTTCCTGAGTTCCACTGCATTGGGTCCCCGGGTTCCCTTCCTCCAGATCCCAGCGTAGCCGTTACCTTGACAGGTCTGGGACCCCCACAAAGAAGCCTGGAGGTCAGAGGAGCAAATGTGGAATCCACTTTCTTTTAGGGACACACCCACCGGTTCCCTCTGACTCCTGTGTTTGGTGCTCCTCTAAGGATGTGGCCTAGGAGGGCCCTGCTGCCTCCCACTGCCCTGGCCTCTCCTCATGGAGCCTGATTTCCTTGGCCCTCTGAGCCTTTGGGTCTGGGCCCTGGTCCAATGCTGCTGTTGTCTGAGGGTTGGTTTGGTGAGAACAGATGTTAGAACTTGTTTGTTGATTCTTGTCTGGCTAATAAATCATCACCAACCACCTTCCCCTACAGGGATCCAAGTACTCCAGGCTCCTTCTGTCTCTGACTCTCTCTCATATTGTAGAAAGGCAGGTGGTTGAACAGCCATTGCAGTGGGAGGAGAGGGGTCTGGGGATTGAGAGACACCTGGGCAAGGGTCACAGGCCTGTGGCCGGGGGGTCAGGAGACACCAAGACAAGGGACACAAACCTTTCTCTGCAAAATATTCCTTCCCTGGCTGGGTTGGCTGGGCAGGCAGCCAGGGACACAGGGGTGGCTCTATCTCCTGTGGATGCCAGGAAAGAAAGAGAGGTAGGGAGGGAAGTGGTTGAGAGTAGCCCCTGCATCTCCTTCCCCAACCCCCCTGCCAAGCACAAAACTGGGAAGGGGGAGAGTGCACTCTCAGCCTGCATGTGAGCCCTTAGAGGATGCAGAACCCCCTACAGCGGCTCCAGTACTCTCTTGTGTCTTCCAAGTAAGGCCAAGCCATAGGCTTTTGCCTCAGTCAGGGCCCTAATTCTCTTCCCTATCCCTTTCGTGAAGCATCCTCCCTTCTCTGCCCAGAGCCACTTCAGGGCAGCCTCCTGCCCCAGTGCAGGGCTCTGGGCTTTCAACCACCTGAAAGAATCTGCCCTAAGTCTTATTTTTGTCTCAGACTTGAGGGCTCTTCAAGGCAGGACAGTATCTGCCCCTGGGTTGCCCTCAGGGCTCAGAATAGAGACTGCCCCCCACCCGTCCTAAAGCCACTCAGGCCCAGGTACTCCCATCTATGCAGCCTGTTCAAGACAGTCAGTGCCTATCAGGGTCCCTTTTCCTGCCAGAGGCACAGAAATCCCCCAGACCCGCCCCTGAAGCCATGCCCCTGGGCTTAGGTGCTGCAACCATCACGCCACCCCCAGCCTGGTGCAGGTGCCAGCTCCAGTGACAAGCGAATTCCCCTCCTTTCCACTCCAGTGCTAATCAGCTTAAGGAGAAAGATGATTGCTGAGTCAACAGAGCTGGGGTTCCACTTCCTGCTGTCTATAGGTCTAAACTCCCTCCTGAGCAAGAGGAGAGAGAGGGAGGGCGGGGAGCAGATGGTTTACAGAAATCAGAGAGGCTGAAAGTGCAAAAAAGTCTCAGATTAGACTCAGGGAGTCACCTAGTGGCTGTTTCCTTGTGGTAGGGGGAGGAGGCAGAAAAAGTTCACTGTATAGCAAAAGCTAGATCAGAAAGTCAACACAGGCTATAACAGGATGGGCAGGTCCAGGGAGGAGGTGGAACTAACTGCCTAGGGACCCACTTGGTGTTTCCAAAGGAGCAAAGCCTGCTAGAGGGGCACAGAGTGGGACCCAGTGACCCTCCCTCTCCCTCTGCAGCTTCACACAGCTAGGGGTGGAACCCAGATGTTGGCATCCAAAGCCCTGGGTTCGTGTTGTGGCGTGGTGCTAACTGGCTGCATAACCTTTGGCAGGAAAACCTTTCTCTGCGTCCCTGTTTCCCGCATTCCTTTGAAACAGAAGTGATGCCTCCTTATTTACACACAGGGCTGCTATACAGACCAGACTAGACCATTCAAATGAAGGGTTGGCAGAGCACCACTGCCGGGGCTGAAAGGGACTTCAGGCCCTTTGTGGCTGACTTTTTGGTTCAACTAAATAGGCAACTGAGGTCTAGAGAGGGGAGGTGATGGATCAGGCCCAGATCTTGTCATCCCAATCTAGGGCTCTCCTTTATACCACAGGGCCCCTCCACCAGCTGCAGGCCGAGCCTTGAGGCCAAAGTGGTAGAGCCTCCCTTCCCCTCATCAAAATCATGGGGCCCCCAGCACCATCCTGCTAACCTCACTCCCAAGCTAAGGCCTGGGGCTATGGTGAGACCTCAGGATGAAGGTAACTTTTATAGGAAAAGAAGCTGGAGCCATTGTACTGGGGGGGAGGGGCCAGGCATTTCCAGCTAATTCAGTCTTCCCACGGTCATCCCATCCCTATTGCTGCCTCCTCCGGGCAGGGCTTTCTCTGGCGCAGCCCACTCTCAGATTTGAGAGGAGTCTCCCACCCCCAGCCCCAGGTCCCCTTCAGAGCCTGAAGGCTGTAATGAGTGGGCCTTTCCTTCCAGCTCGTCCCCGTAGCACAATAGCTGACCCTGACTCCCCTAAGCTGCCCCTTTCATCTTATCTGCTCCCTTGGCCAATGCAGTAGACCATCTCAGTAAGGTGTCCTGTAATTCTGGCTCAGGCCAGGGGGGTTGAAAAGCAATGAACTCCATAACCTCAGCTATCCCAATTCCACAGCACATCACTCCCCATGAACCCACTCATCACTGACCCCCACCCTCAACTACCTCTACTCGCCTCAGAGCACCTGACCCTACTTGAACGAAAGCTGAGGGAGAGGGTAAAAAAGGTTAGGAGCAGCTAGCACAGAGCTTCCCAAGGCCCCACAGAACTTCAACCATCCCCTCCAGACTATGGCTTTTTGGACAGCAAGCTCAGCACTCAACTGGAATGAAGACCTGGCCAAGCCCCTCCCCAGAGCCAAAGGCTGTGGGGTAGAAGCTGAAAACCCCTCGCGACAGCTTTGCTGTCTCTGTGCAGCTTCTAAGTTGGATCCCTGTATACCTCAGCTTCCTAGGCTCTGCAGTCCTGGTCAGTGCAAGGCTGCACTGGAACTGTGCCCCAACCCCTCCAAAAATCTGCCAGGTGACCTGGATCCATTTCCGACCAAGGCCTTCGCCCCTTCCTCCCTCTGCCCTTGGCGGCTGCTGCCTGCCAATTTTAGCCAAGTGCCATTCCTAACTCCTCTCCCTCACCCATCTTCTTTCCTGTTTATTTACCAGAACTCGAAGTCGGTCCATTTTCTAAACTGTCAAATTTCTCTTGGCGACCAAGAGTTTCCACCCACTAATAAAATGTCAATGTTGATAGAACTATAAAGTAGCTTATAAAAAAGTAGCTTAAAATGACTTGCAGAGAACCAAAGGAGGTGGAAGGCAAAGAGGAACCTTAAAGATACCTGGCCTTACTATCCATTTCCGGAAGACACTGGACTCTCCCTACCTACCATGTCCTGTCTCCCAGGACAGAGCCCTTCCCGCTCCATCATGATGCAGCCCCTAGAATGAGAAAGTTGAACTGCTGAGTACCAGGAGCGTGGCACCTCAGGAGTAGGGCTGCACCTGTAGCATAATGGATACAGTAAAGAGCATTTGACTCCTCAGGATCCCAGTTTGGCCCTGTTAAACCTACCTCACCACCTAAGACACCCAGAGGGGCGATCTCAATCCCCAGTGCCTCTGTGGATGGTGGGAGTGGTGGGAGCTGATGCATCGATTTTGACAATTACAGCCTGAATGTCCCTGAGGGATGCAAGAGCCCTGTCTGGCTCCAACCCCAAAGTAGGTCAGATTTCAGATAAGTGGGTGGTTTTCCTGTAAGTGATGAAACCCTCCTCCCCCCAACTTAATGGCAAACAGACTCAACTTACCCCAGCACACAGGACCAGATGCATGGTGAGAGGCCACACTCAGCCTCTTCCTTCTCAGCCCCAAGTCCCTACCACGCACCTGAACTGCCCCTCTGGCCTTAACCTTCCTCTGTCACCAGGACTGTCAAAAACTAATTCCTCTGTGTATTCCCTGTTCCGAACCTGCAACTGGAGTCAAGCTTCTCTGTCCAGTCAGTGCTCCTGACTGGCATCCAATGCCTTTCTTCTTGTAGGAGTTTCTTCAACACTCTTCCTGTAGGAAGCCACTGCAGGTAAGCCTTACTGGAGTCCCAGTACCCTTAGCAACACATTATAGGGAAATCTGCAGTTTTGTGACGAGTGCAAGTATCTCCCCTCCCTACTTGATCCCTTCCCTGGCAGGGAGAAACCACGCCTTCTATCTTGTCGCTTCTGGGCATCACAGTGCCTGACAGCTAACTGAAGTCCATAGGCCCCACCGCTTCCCTTCACCAACCACTCACCCAAACCACCCCTTCCTCGCTAGCAAAAGGCTAGGGGTCCAGAAGCCTCCCAGATTTGTCTAGCCCCCAAGCTCTATGCAAAGCTTCCAAACCAGTCTAGGCCAACGACTACCAGTATAAACTTAAATCATCTCCAGGGACAGGCATGTCACCATGTTACCCCTTGCTGGACTGAATTTTATGTCTAAAAATTCTCATGTCACAAAAAGAACCTCCTGACTTCCCCCAATCTTCAGGAACACTGGAGATCAGCAGTATTTCCCATGTTCAGGATCACAGGCTCCTGCCCAAACACAATTTACATACAACTCCTGGGGTCTTCAATGGCCGCGAACCTAGTTTAGGTGGTGGGTACAGAGGACAAAGGCAAGGTGACCATCGAGGTGACCCATGACGGTTGGAGTGCTTTACACCAGTGTTATCTGACCCAGGGACAGGATAACAAATGAGGTTTAAGTCTGGAATGAAAAAGGAGGCCATACTAAAAAGTAGGAAAGGGCATAGGCCAGGCATCTGTCAGACTGAATGTTTTATTTCAACAGACATCCCTGGTTTTAAAAAAAAAAAAAAAAAAAAAAAAAAGGG